TCCGGGCTGGGGATTTGAACCCGCCACCTTAGCTGTACGTGGCTGGCGCCTTAGCCGGTTGAGCTATAGGCGCTGAGCCGAGAATTATTCTTAATAGATCTCCCATCTATCATCAAGTCCTGCCAGCTTAACTTCCTATTTTATCTAGTCATTACCTCTTCCTGCTTTCCCTCCCAGCCATTTTAAATAACTGCCTGAATAATCCATCAAAATGCAAACTTGATATTGCTCACTCTTCCAACCCACCTTCCATTTAAATATATACATTGTGGATTCCTATTGCTCCCATCTCTCCAACCTCTAGTCTAACCATACATATTCCTTGTCTCTCCTCTAGTTATATGACTTTCTTTAAGGTCTTCAAAATTTCCAAATACACTCCCACCATAGAAGCTTTACTGTTACTTCTGCCTGGAATACTCATCTTTCCCCCTGCTATGGTTTATTTGTACTTATGCTTTAGATTTTTCTCAATCCCTTCTGTAGGAAGACATTCCTGAAGACAACTGCTCAGACCCACAATTACAACAACCTCATGTCCCTCTCCTTTATAGTGTCATTCCGTTACAATTTTTTTTATATATTTCTTAAGCAACTTGCTACTGCTATGAGATAGAATTATGAGAAAAACATGGCTCCTGCCCTGGTGGAGTTTATGGACATAATAGATATTAAGCAGATAATTATAGTGTTATGAATACTACCTTAGCAGTAAGTGCAGGGTGTTATAGGAGCCCAAAAGAGAAGCTCCACATTCCAGATTTGGGAATGAAGGTAGGCTACTCAGAAAAGTTGAAACCTAGGCTGGGTATGGTGTTTCATGCCTATAATCCTAGCATTTGGGAGGCCAAGGTGGGAAGATGACTTGAAGTCAAGAGGTTCAGGACAGCCTGGGCAATGTAGCCAGACCCTGTCTCTACCAAAAAATATTTAAGGGCGGCGTGCCAGCACCATATACTGCGGGTGGTGGGTTCAGACCCGGCCCCAGCCGAACTGCAACAAAAAAATAGCTAGGAGCTGTGGCAGGCACCTGTCATCCCGGTTACTTGGATGGCTGAGGCAAGAGAATCGCCTAAGCCCAGGAGTTGGAAGTTGCTTAGAGTTATGTGACACCACGGCACTCTACCAAGGACGATAAAGTGAGACTCTGTCTCTACAAAATAATAATAATAATAATAATAAATTAGCCAAGTTTAGTGGTGCCTGCCTGTAATACCTGCTACGTAGGAGGCTGAGCCAGAATAATGGCTTGAACCCAGGAAGAGTTCAAGGTTACAATGAGCTATGATCACACCAATATATTCCAACCTGAGCAACATTGGGAGACTCTGTCCCTAAAAAAAGAAGAAGAAAAGTTGAAACGTGAGCTGAGCCTGGAAGTAAGAATTAGCAAGGCAAAAGGAAGAAAGAAGAAAGAGCAGAGAGATCTGAAAAGAGAAACTATTCAGACTGCGTAATTGGAGGATAAAAATGGGAGCAGAGAAATGGGCAAGAGCCAGGCTGAATCTTGGATCTCCCTTTGGCACCTGGGAATATAACCTCCCAGAATGCATTTGATTATGTGACAGATTTTTCATGGCACTTGTTTTGTTTTGTTTTGAGACAGAATTTCACTCTGTTGCCCCATGGTCATTGTGACCATGGCATCAGCCTAACTCACACCAACCTCAAACTCCTCGGTTTGAGCAATCCTCCTGCCTCAGCCTCTTGAGTAGCTGGGACTATAGGCATCTGCCATAACACCCAGCTAGTTTTTCTGTTTTTAGTAGAGATAGGAATGTCATTCTTGTTTAAGCTGGTCTTGAACTCCTGAGCTCAAGCAGTCTTCCTGTCTTGGTCTCCCAGAGTGCTAGGATTACAGGTGTGAGCCGCTGGGCCCAGCCATATCATTTATTTTTTTTTTCTCACTTTGTCGTCCTTGGTAGAATACGGTGGCATCACAGCTCACAGCAACCTCAAACTCTTTGGGCTCAAGCAAGTCTCTTGACTCAGCCTCCCAAGTAGCTGGGACTATAGGCACCTGCCACAACACCCAGCTTTTTTTTTTTTGAAGATGAGGTCTTGCTTGGGCTCAGGGTGATCTTGAACCTGTGAGCTTAGCCTCAGCCTTCCAGAATGCTAGGATTACAGGTGTGAGCCACTGCATCCACCATCATTTGATTTTTCTTCCACTTGTAGCTAATACACAAAAACTCTCTGGACCAAGCTGTTGAATCGCCTCTTAATCAGATCTCATCTGATTATTCCTTAAAGCTTCCTGTGATATCATGTTGCTACTTGCCTGAGAGAGGGCAGGAATGGGCTAGCAACAGATCAAATTCCACTTGTTAGTAATTTCCAAAAACTGAAAAAAAAAATTTTTGTCAATTTGGGGTTGGTCAAATAAAGTTAAAGTAAGTAAATAAAGTCTGATACATACTATGGAATATTCTTCAGATGTTAAAAGGGTAAGGGAGTCTACTACAATTTGAAAAGAAATGATAGGTTGATAAATGGATAGACAGTATTTAAAAATATATATACATAATGTTACTATACTATGAATATGCATTCTAAGAGGTTATATTCCCAAACTGTTAATGGAGATTCAGGCTTTTAGTTGTTTTTTTCCTTTTTTTAAATCTAGTTTTATATACAATTTGAAATATTTTCATCAAACTGGTTAGCACAGCCTTCACAGCATTTTCTTAGTTATTGTGTTAAGATATTTATACTCTACATTTAGTAAATTTTGCATGTACCATAGGAGGCTTTTAGTTTTTACTTGATGTATTTCTTTATGTTGTCTGACTTTATTCAGCTATCGTGTTAACTATTATAGTTTTTTAAAGCAATTAAGATATTTAGCTGTTTGGAAAAGAAAATTCAATTGGAACTTTGGAATTCCACAACAAAGCGGATATACCTCTAACCTTCATCAGGTTTTTCATCAGGTCATTCAGTCTTCTAGTCATGAGCCAGAATAGTAGGGAAAGACTGACTCCAAAAATACAGCCACAGGAATGAGTAAGGCAGCATGAAGGCTTTGTCACTTCTCACCAGCTGTCAGGTCTTCTATGTGACACCCTGAAGACACTATTCATTCCTTCATTTCTCCTTTTATTTTTCCATTTATCCATTTGTCCATCAAGCCTTTAGTGAATATTCATCATTTTCCAGATTCAACATAGGATAATGATGGGAAGATCTGACTTCTTTTTGTTCTTTTTTTTTTTGAAGAGTCTTACTTTGTCACCCTTGGTAGAGTGCCATGGCATCATAGCACACAGCATCCTCAAACTCTTATTAGAGTCAAACAGTCCTCTTGCCTCAGCCTCCTGAGTAGCTACAGGTACCCACCACAACACTCAGCTATTTTTAGTTTTTAGTTTTTTGAGACAGGGTTTCACTTTACTGCCCTTAGTAGAGTGCTGTGGAGTCACAGCTTACCGCAACCTCCAACTCCTGGGCTTAGGTGATTCTCTCACCTCAGCCTCCCGAGTAGCTGGACTACAGGTGTCTACCACAAAGCCCGGCTATTTTTTGTTGCATTTTGGCCGGGGCTGGGTTTGAACCCACCACCCTCGGTATATGGGGCCCGGCATCCCACTCACTGAGCCATAGGCCCCGCCCCCAGCTATTTTTAGAGATGAGGTCTCACTTTGACTCAGGCTGGTCCTGATCCTGTGAGCTCAGGAAATCCACCCGCCTTGGCCTCCCAGAGTGCTAGGAATATAGGCGTTAGCCACTGCACCGGCCTTGTTCTTGTCCTTAAACTTATAAAGTAGATTATAAAGAAATGAGTACAGAGAGAACAACTGCTTCCATTTATTATCTGCTGTGGGATATACAACAGTGCTCATGATAGGGTGTGTCTTCACTTTACAGATGAGAAGACAGGCTGTGATGAAATTTTGTTCAAAGTACAGTGGGGGTGGGGGCTGGGCACGGTGGTTCACACTTGTAATCCTAGTGCTCTGGGAGGAAAAAATAGTTGGGCATTGTGGCCGGTGCCTATAGTCCCAGCTACTCAGGAAGCTGAGGCAAGAGAATAGCTTGAACCCAAGAGTTTGAGGTTGCTGTGAGCTGTGATGCCATGGCACTCTACCAAAGGTGACAAAGTGAGACTCTGTCTCAAAAACAACAACAACAACAACAAAAAAAAAAAAGTATAGTTGGCGGGGGGCATGCATCAGTTAGCCATTGCTATGTAACAAACCATCCAAAGACACAGTGGCTTAAAACAAGCATTTATTACTGCTTGTAAATCTTTCAATCACCTGGATGGTTTTTCTGGTCTTGGCTGGGCTCACTCTTGTGTCTGCAGTCATCATGAGTTGAGTGACTTGCCTGATCTGACTATAGGCTAGTCTGTGAGGGCCTCAGCTGGGATCACTGGCTGTCTTTTACATGTCTCTTACCTGCATATCTCTAGTGTCCCTCTAGTAGGCCCACCATGTTCTCATGGCACTGGCAAAGAGCAAGAGGGCAAGCCCTCTCTTAAAGCTTCCGATTGCTTCTTATCCGTATCTCACTAGCCAAAACAAGTCATATGGCTGAGCTCAGCATCAAAGTGAGATGGAACTACAAAATTATAGGCAAGGGATGGATACAGAGAAGACCATGACTAGGATCATCAAAGCAATCAATCTAACACAGGGTACACTGGTCAATTTTATCTGGGGAAAAAAAGGCTTTATAGAAGTGGGTATACAAGAGCTGAGTATTGAAATGTGAGAGTATTCACTAAGTGGGCAGCTTTTGGTTGGAAATGGATGCAGGCTGGTTTGCCACAATCAGTAGAAACCTAGCAGTTCATTCTGTGTTCATGACAGGGTTCTATTATTTGTATCTTGGCTTTATTCTGTCTGGTCAGGCACAGGGCTGCAGGCACTCAACAAATGTTTGCAGAAGTGAATTGAATATCTTACTGTGAAAGAGGTGTGGACTGAAGCCAACTGAACCTGGAACCAATTGTTAGAACAACTTAGCATCAACTCTCCCAAAACAGAAATCATCTTATTTGACAGTTTCTCATTTATTCATCCTATAAACATTTCCTGAGTACCTGTTGTAGCTCAGAACTAGTTTCTGAGTTAAATATGACACAGTACTAGCTCACAGCCTGGGCTACTGTTTAAATGGAGAAGACTAATAACCCTTTCCAATCAGCAAATTTATCCAGCTTTTTGGGGTACCATTTTTAATACTGACTGATTCAGAAAATGTATCAGGAGTGAATTCTAACAAAATCAGAAATTCTTAGGAATTCTGGGTTTTCCTAATGGTCAAGGAGACTAACAGTAAAAATCTGTTCTTAAGTATTTTAAGCTAAAATCCATGTTCAGGCTCGGCTCAAGTGGCTAAGGCGCCAGCCACATACACCTAAGGTGGCGGGTTCGAATCCAGCCCGGGCCTGCCAAACAACGATGGCTGCAACCGAAAAAAAATAGCCAGGCGTTATGGCAGGCGCCTGTGGTCCCAGCAACTTGGGAGGCGGAGGCAAGAAACTCGCTTGAGCCCAGGAGTTGGAGGTTGCTGTGAGTTATGCCATGGCACTCTACCCAGGGGACAGCTTGAGGCTTTGTCTCAAAAAAAAATAAAATAAATAAAAAAAAAATCCATGTTCAGTGCTGCAGAACTCTGGAGTCCCAAACTCCAGACTGACTTTGAGTAAAGTATGCAATCCTGCTCAAAGGCCCTGTTGTAGGTGGTGAAGTGGAAGAGATGTCTGTCTAAACAAGGTTCTTCTACTTTTGCAAAAGACAGAAGCTCCTCTTTTTCTGAAAGAGTATGTTCTTTGTTGTCTGCCTACAGATCTGACATCTAAAAGATTCAGACCTATTGTAATCAACAACCCATGCCCACAGGGCCAGTCTACAACAGATAACTAAGCCAACACTACCAAAACTCAGTTGGAATTACTATTTTGTTTGTTTGTTTGTTTGTTTGTTTGTTTTGAGACAAAGTCTCAAGCTGTCGCCCTGGGTAGAGTGCTATGGCATCATAGCTCACAGTAACCTCCAACTCCTGGGCTCAAGCGATTCTCCTGCCTCTACCTCCCAAGTAGCTGGGACCACAGGTGCCCACCACAATGCCTGGCTATTTTTTGGTTGCAGCCATCATCGTTGTTTGGCAGGCCAAGCTGGATTCGAACCCGCCAGCTCAGGTGTATGTGGCCGGCGCCTTAGCCGCTTGAGCCACAGGCGCTGAGCCTACTATTTTTTTTTTTAATCACCACTATACTAACAGGAAGAATTGATGCTTTTTAAGAGCAAGAGATTCTCACTTTCCAGTCCTCTAAACTTGTTAAACTTTAAATCACCAAGGAATTTACTTCAACTGTATTAATTAAGCTTAAACTAAATCACAAGCTATCAGAGCCTTGGTTTTTAACAAAAACTCCCATTTTTAAGGAATATTTGGGAATTTCATTCTCTGTGTACTGAGTAATTCTTTGAATCCAATGATGAGAACTGCATATCCCAAGGTTTCCTTTATTTATTTTGGCTGCTAGGGATTTCAAAGCTAAATATAGGCTCAGATACCTACAGTCCCTGGTACATTTTGCTTTCTTCCTATAATCTTTCTGATCGTTCTCTTCCATTTTTAATTTTCTATATCTGCATTGTCTAATATGGTAGCCACTAGTCACATGTGCGGCCACTGAGCCCTTAACAAGTAGCTAATCCAAATTGGAATGTGCTGTAAGTGTAAAAAATCTCTCAATAATTGTTAATGTTGCTTACATGTTCAGTGATAGGAGGGCTATCTGGAAAGTATCCAGCCATGGTCTCATCTGTCACTGGATACTTTCCAGACAGCCCATTATTAAAATTAACCCCCTCCTGTTTCATTTTATTTTTCTTATGGCTACTAGAATATTTTACACATGTGAAAAAATTATATACATGGCTTGTACTTACAACTCAATTATGTTTCTGTTGGATAGCACTACACATCATTCTGTTTTATGGGTGTTATTATTGTAAACCTAAAATCCTTTCTTTTTGGAAAGTGGGTAAAGTAATAATGCAGAGGTGACAGCAGTGAATGGAATGTGAAAAGGGAGGTTAACTCCAATAGTATTGTCCTTGTCAGCCTGTCTTTTATTTGTATGATTCATATACAAACCCCTTAGTAAAGTATGTTGTCAGCTCTCTTCCTCCCAGGTGAGTAGCATTATCATGGCTCTTCCCAGTGTCCAGAAAAGCCTGTCCTTAGCTTTATTTTGGCTAACAATTGGAAAAGATCTGATAAGACAGTTCACACCTCATTATAAAGACTCATAACATTGTGTTCACCCCTCTCAGGGGGTATTTCCATTTTAACAGGGAACAATCCCTGAACCCAAAGGAATGAATCCCTAATGGTGGACTTTCAGGCATCAGCGACAGGTGAGTGAGAAGTAGACTGGTTTTATGTTTATGTGTGTTTATATATGTATGACTATGTTCAGGATGTGGCTGAAAGTAGGGTCTTTGGATGGAAAGGTAACGGGGCTAATGATAAGTTGAACAGAGAAGGTAGCAAATCCCCGTCTGGGTCAACCTGAAAAGGGTTGTCAGACACCAACTGGATGCTTTGCAAGCACCCAGGGGTTTGTTAAGCAATAGAGTAGCCCAGTTGATGTCAACAGAGGGTTAGGTACCAAGACAGTCTCCATGGTAACTACTATGGAGTATCAGAAAGGGTCTCAGAGAAGGATTCAGGACACTGACTGCAGTCCACAGCTGATTCATTGGCTTAACTCTGGGCAAGTCCTTTTACCCCTTGGGTCTCAGTTTCTTCATCTGGAAAATAGAAATGGGTATTATAACTATCAACTGAGTTTTCTATGATTAATATTTTAAAATGGAAATGCAGGGTGGTGCCTATGGCTCAGTGGGTAGGGCGACAGCCCCATATACCAAGGATAGTTGGTTCGAACTGGCCCTGGCCAACTGCAACAAAATAATAGCCAGGCATTCTGGCAGGCGCCAGTAGTCCCAGCTACTCAGGAGGCTGAGGCAAGAGAATCGCCTAGGCCCAGGGGTTGAGGTTGCTGTGATCTGTGACACCATGGCACTCTACCGAGGGTGATAAAATAAGACTCTGTCTCTTAAAGAAAAAAAAAAAAAAGGAAATGCAGCTAGGTAGGCCTGGAGAAGGTCCATGCCCCATGTCCTTGAAACACTTGTCCTTCTCTGTCCTCCCAGAGTGGACCCAGACTCCCAGGGTACATGCTTGCATCTGATGAATGATGGCCTGAAATATGAGCAAACAGGAGAACGCTTCAGCGCAGGAGCCCCCTCTCGACTACTCCTTCAAAAGCGTCCAAGTCATCCAAGGTCAGCATAGCACTGTACTCACCAAGGCAGCAGTAGGCCCAGTGTGATCCCTAGGGAGAAACCTCTTCTATTTAAAAGCCTAAAGAGATTCTTCCCATATGCTTGCAGATTTGTTGATGTTGTATACTGGGGGGGCAGGGTGTTGCATTTTAAAGCACAAGTCTGAAAGGAACCAGAGGACTCTGAGAATAGTTGATTGTCTTCAGATGAAGCCAGATCAGCAGGAAAGTCAGGTGGAAGAAAATGGAGAAGCCAATCCATCAGCCAATAGTGCTCACAGCAACCTCAAACTCTTGGGCTTAAGTGATTCTCTTCCCTCAACCTCCCAAGTAGCTGGGACAACAAGTGCCTGCCACAGCGCCCAGCTATTTTTTTGTTGCAGTTGTTTAGCTGGCCTAGGCTGGGTTGGAACCCACCACCCTTGGTGTATGTGGCTGGCGCCACAACCACTGTGCTATGGGCACTGTAGTGCGTTTCTTTTTTTCAGCTAATAGCTTTATTCTCCTGAAGAGAGAATTTATTTTACCTGAAGAAAGGAGGAAACTAGGGAAAAGAAAACAGGCTGCTGAGAGTCCCAGGAATTAGACAACCTATCTTCTCTATCTGGGTACACAAGCTCTTTCTGACTGGTAAAAAGTGAGGGTTTTTTTCTTTTTTTGAGACAGTCTCATTCTGTTGCCCAAGCTAGAGTGTCATAGCATCAGCCTAGCTCACTGCAACCTCAAACTCCTGCGCTCAAGCTATCTCCTCCTATCTCAGCCTCCCAAGTAGATGGGACTATAGGTGTCTGCCATAACACCTAGCTAATTTTTTCTATTTTTTAGTAGAAATGAGGTCTTGCTCTTCCTCAGGCTGGTCTCAAACTCCTGAGCTCAAGGGATCCTCTGGCCTAGGCCTCCCACCAGAGTGCTAGGATTACAAGCCCGAACCACCACGCCAAAAATGAGGGATCTTATCAACAAACTGGCATGTTTCCAGTTTTTTGTTTTGTTTTGTTTAGAGATTAAGTCTTGCTCTGTAGCTCAGGCTGGAGTGCTATAGCACAGTCATAGCTCACTGAAACCACAAACTCCTAGGCTTAAACAATAATCCTCCTGTCTTGGCTAATTTTTTTTTTTTTTTTTTGCACTTTTTGGCCTGGACTGGGTTTGAAACCGCCACCTCCAGCATATGGGGCCGGCACCCTACTCCTTTGAGCCACACGCACCACCTGTCTTGGCTAATTTTTTATTTTCTATAGAGATGGCGGTCTTACTATATTGCATAGGCTGCTCTCAAACTCCTCCAGTGATCTTTAGGAGGCATTGGCATAAGTCACCATGCCCAGCCTCATCCCTGGCTTTTAAAATTTTCAACATTTTAATTT